TTAAAAATTCTAAAATTGATAGAGACAAGCATGCATTAAGCCATAATGATGGCCACGCCTTGTGCTAGATGCCTACATATGTCATCCTCATAAAAACTCCACCAGGTATTTTTAACCTAATTTTACCAGAGGGAATTCTCTGGCTTATGAGGAAAAATGACTCATCCATGGTCATCTGTTTAGTGAGTGATGGAGGTATGTTTGTCTGTGACTTTTTTTTTGTTGTATCTTAACAAAGGAAATATTCATGACCCATGGTCCTCAGGTACTGTAAAGATGATGCTAGGAGACAGAGTGTGGATGGCATCTAACCTTTTGCATGAAAACTACAGGGATGGGCTCTTATAGAGAGATGTGAGCCAGTATGATTTCCATAACTGATTGTGCATTAGAATCACCAGAAATACCAGGGATATACTTACTTTTTTTATTTTGCAAAATATTTCCAGGTAACTTCTATGTAGACAGTTTTTCACTCACCTACTCTTGCATGCATGATGGAGAAGATCTCATGAATTAGGTGTAGGGATAAAAACTAGCAACTTGAGACAGAACTCACAGGTAGCAAACTAAGAGTTTTTAGCCATAAGAGGTTTTGTTTTTAAGTCTGGGCTTGCAATTTGAGTGAAATATGTACAGTCTTTTCTTCAATTTTGTTTCTAAGTGAGTAATCTTTTTGAAGTACTGAGGCATCATTCCCTGCATTGTAAGAATCTCCTGGAATCATAGATGTGAGAAAGGGCAGGGACCTTGGAAACTGGTCCTGTGACTTCAGAGCGGAGAAGACCAAGACTCGGAGGCTAAAGGTCGCTAGAGTGCAGAGTTGATGCTTAGTCCAGAGCTCTTTTCACCAAGCAATTCTGCCCTCCTTTGTGCTTCTCAATGTCATCAGTCACTCAACTGGTCAAACTTGGTATTCTCTGGGTTTAATCTGAACATCCAATTTTGCCTACCTATAGATAGCTGTCCCCAGAAACAAACTCTGAGTAGTCCCTGTCCAGTCAGTTTTAATAATTTAGATTTCTCCAGCAAGCATAAGACCCTAGTTTAGTTTTAAATGTCAGGATTTCCCTATATTTCATTTTCATTTTTAAAGGTTATTCTAATTTAAGTGCGGGGAGAGGGAAGTCAGGCAAGCAGCCTTTCTCTAGTGCTCATATTGTTTCTTTAATGCACCAACCCTTCTTTTAAATCTTTTCATTTGCCTCTCAGCCATCAATTCAATTTTAAGTGAAGCGTATTTTCTCATTTACTTCCTCAGTTATTTTTATGCCAATGCATTTTGAAGAAAACATTTACCCCACTTAATCCAGTCTCAATCCACTTTCTGCTTTTGACAGATACCTATTTAGATGGAAGTTTCTTTGTTGGTGCCAGAAAGAACCAAGACTTAGTTAAGGAGCTCATTAGCCACTGATTTGGGGAAGAGAAAACAAATGACCTCTTATCCTCATCCTGGACCATTCCCTCTTGTTCCCTTTCTCCACATTTTGGCCCAAAGAATCAGGCCATAAGCTTCCAGGTACATCTTTATACAGAGAATTTAGTAATACAACTTTAGCCTTCTTTTCCCCTAGGAAGTCATTTTAATAAGGCAAAAATTATTAACCTTTAGAATCTCCCCCTTCATCTTTCTGTCTTTTAAAAATAGTATTTTTTTTCCTTCAAAGTGTGAAGGGATTGTAGGAGAAAGAAAAGGAAATACATTGGATCTGGATTTTCTGTAGTTGGTATCATGTTTCTGGTTGGGCCACTTTGGTAAAAAGAGGCTCAGAAATTAAGATTGTTGAAGGTCTTCACACACCAGCCCACTTGTCATAGAATTTCTTAGTTGAAAATGTTACTGTATAACCATATGGCAAAAAACTCATAGAGTTTTAATTAAATAACACTGAAATGCAAATGTAGTTGTTGTGTTGTAGGCTCTGCTTAAAGCTTATAATCTAAAGGAAGATATTTATTTAAAAATATCTGGCTCATGTATGGCTTCACATGTAGATTAGGACACTATCTTTGGACTCAGCATCATAATTAAATTGCAGAGGGAATCCTGGAGAAGGAGTGTGACTTGAGATATATGAACTTAAGGGATGGACACTTGAGAGAAATAACACAGCTTTTGTTTTTTCCCAGTCTTTCCTTTTTGTTCCCATGTCAGCTAAGCATGGACCAACCAAAGTTTTTAGGCTCCTGAATTTCAGATTTATCTCTTTAGGAACACCCTGAGGAAAATCATGGAATAGATGCAATTTTGTGACTTGCTTTATTTTGATAAACAACTAGGATCTTCCCATTCTCCCTACTCTGTAACACAGTTTCCTGCCTGTCCTCCGAACAGACAGGAAATAGCTGCTCTTTGGAAAGGAAAGTGAGACCTTCACCTCTCCTCCGGGACCCCTCGGAATCAGTGTGGGAAGAGGAAGACCTGGAGTGAGCTTTAGGTATCTTGCATAAAATGAGCTTAGAAATGCAAGGGGCATCATCCAGGGAAAACCTGGACCCAAATTTGAGTAAATCTCACAAACCAGTTAGGATTCCAATGGGGATAATGGGCTGAGCTAGTGGATTTAGGTCCTAGGCAATAGGGTGACTGGAGCCTGAGGGAGCCACATGAGAACTATAGGGTTCACAGAATAAAGTAAGAAGACAGCCAATGATAAAGGCAAGCTTGGATGCTCTAAATTTGTACCTATGGATCGTGAGTTTGTCCTTCAGGGTCTCTTGGCTCACCCCACCTGTTCCATCTGTGCTGGTACTCAAGTTTTAAATTCCTAGTTCCTAGCCTCAGCCCCTGTGGTGCTGGCCCAGGGCCCTACTGACTGAACTTCTCCATTCCTGCTGTTTCCTTGTCAGGCCAGTTTGTAGTGGATACTAGAGTCTTCTAGGCCAGAGGAGAGAGGGAGGAGTTTTTCCTGTCCTCTGTGCCTCAGCAATAGCCCCATCCTGCAGGGACAGTCAATGTCAACTATTTCTCACTTCCTCTAAGGCACCCTGTCTCCCTTCCACAGAAAACTGGTTTCCAGCTCCTCTTTCAAAACTGTCCTAAAACCCCCTAACCTCTTCCCAGTGCTCCCTCAGCCTAGGGTGGTGGTTGCTTTCTGCTGTCAATAGTTCTATGTTACTTCAGTGTCCTCTCTTTTCTTTCTCCATCATCCAATGTCCTTTGTACCAATTCTCTCTGTTAATATTTCTGCTTCCCTGACTAGATTCTGACTGAGGGTGGGCTCCGGCTGACTGTTTGAGGTGGGGAGCCCACCCTCATTTTCTACATGCTCTTCATACTTCTTCTGGAATTGCACCAAGTGGGCTCACTTAATCCTGATAGCTTGGTAAGGTTGCTTCTGTCCTCACTTTATTTCTGGTGACTCAAAGAAGTCATGTCATGTCCCACAATCACCCAGCATATGCAGGAACTCGATTCAAACCCAAGTTTGTCTGATGCGCAAGCCTTTCTCTTTGGATTCCAGCTTGCTGCCTGTGTCTGACTTCCCTTTTTCTGCTCTCCCATCATCCGATGCTCCTTTCTCTGAGTGGGGCATGTGGAGGTGGGCATCCTCTCCTGGAGTGGAATAGCAGAGGAATAGCAGGGCCTTGAGTGTCTGTCCATGAAAGATGGGTGAAGAGGAGGATGATAAGGTCCCAAAGGCAGTCTACTGAGATAGGGGGACCCATGGATACAATGCCTGGGGTGAGACTACTTCCCTCAGTAGTGAAAATTGGCAAACCAGGGAAGGGAGAACTGGCTGAGAATGCTTCAGGCAAACCAAGATGGGGTCAACTGGGGCAGGGGCAGAAGCTGCTTTAAACGTCTGCCTTTCTCCTAAGAAGGTTTAGACACCCTGAGAAAGATTAAGCTATGAAGAAAATGAAATATCTTTAGCATTATTCTAGCACCTTGTATTTGAAAATTTTTAGAATATATGGAGCACTGTACAGTTTAAGACATTGTACCATCTGATGATGCAATAACTGTGGAACTGTTTACCTTGCGGATATTCTGGCTGTTAAAATGGTGCTTCCCTTTTCACTTTCACAGCTAAGAAGTTCAGAGTCCAATGGGAAGCCCAACTTCAACAAAAGAGTAGATCTCTGTGGTATTATGGTTGTAGTGATTGCCCTCACTTTATTTTATCTGTTGTCATTTTATTTCAACATATTTTATCTTATACTGCATACCTCTTGGTGAATCTTTCAAAATCTTTTGGAAAATTATCCAGGATATCTCTACTTCCAACGACATCTTTATCTGTACATTGGTCTATGGTTTCTTCTCTGGGTCCACTAATATTTCAATTTTACTGACAATTATTCCTCATCTATCTCCATCTGTACCTTTATCCACATTCATAACTATGAGGGAGGCAGGGACAGTCCATCTCTGCCCTTTTAGTTTTCCAGTTGTGTGTTTTTATACCCAGATTTGAATATGAAAGCATAAGTAGGAAGCTTTTTGACACGAAGATGGTTCACATCTGGTCTTGGAAACCTCCAGTATGTTTCCACGATAAAGCCATCCATTGACAGACACACTAATGGGCCTGTGATATAGAACCCAAAACTTAAAAAGTTCTAACCCATCAAGAAATCCCATTCATCATTTCATTTTTTGGAAAGGATATAAAAAATGAAATGTCAGAGCTATAATGTCAGGACCGTTTCAAATGTCAAGTGCTTGTTGTTGCATAGCCAGGCTGTCTGCTGTTCTGATCAAACCTCCAACTGGCATAATAATTACAGATGATACATCACATTTTCATGCACAACTGGATCCAGATTTATAACAAATCAGATGGAAACATTCTCACTGCCCGGCCTGAAGTTTTCTGCTTTTACTGCATAGCTTAAGACTTTTGCTTTGGAGCAAAACATTAATTACTGATTCAAGACAGCATTCAGTGTAAGGAATGAGAAATAGTTCAGAAAAAAAAATTCTCAAATAGACCAGAACTCAGTCATTTATAATATACAAATACAACCAGAGCCAAGAGGCAGTGAACACATTTGCCAAATGCATGTTTAATCTTAGGATGCTAAAATGTGGGGGTACTTCCCAGACAATGCAGATCTATTTCAAGATACAGATTAATTTTAAGTGTGCAAGGGCATACATGCAAGCTCTATTCTGAACTGAAAGGTGTGGAGACAATTCTTCAGTTTAATCATCATCTTGGAATCTGCAGAGAGGGTGCTGAGGTACAAACAGAATATCAACAATGCAACTGGTTAGGATCTTCATGGAAGTTTCTACTGGATTAAAGTAATACTATATTCATAAGCCTATATGAATTATAATAAAGACTGAAACCAACAGTATGCACAAAGATTTCATTTCTTCTCTACTTGAAGTTTTGTGCTCACTGAACTCTGGCAAGGGGTTCTCACAGTGACTTCATTTTCACCTTCCCTAGACCAGCCCTGTCGGGGTGTTTGGAGGAGTCTCTCTCCAGCATCTGGTTGCTTCCCATTGCAGATTATTTTCAGCACATTGGAAAGGTCAAAACTCTTGGAAACAATCTCCAGGAGATCCCGATCTTTTTCCATGCCATTGATAAATTCTTCCAAAGTCAATTCCCCTGGAAAATAACAAATGAGCAATTAACAAGAGGCTTTGTCCGTACCACTCATTGGCACATAGCAATACATTCACCATGGTTGATATTTATTGATATTCTTCTTTTGGTGTCCTTTCACCTCTACGAGACTGTTAAGTTCTTTAAGATCTTTATATGAAAAAGCATTCAATGATGGGATTGCCCGTGAAAATAAAGATGATGAATACAATATACTTTTAGTTTTAGATGAGAATATCAGGAAATGTACCTAATGAAATAAAAGCACACATGTTTTTGCATCTCTACACAATATTGGTTAATTGACCTTGAATCCTGAATACATGACCAACTCATAAGAGCCTGACAAGTTGTAGACTTCTAGGGTCAGGAGGGGATGACTGTTCAGCAGGCTGTTTTCAATGTTCTTCTGAGAAATAATTTCAGGGACTGCTCAAAGCTGTGAGGAAGTAGAAACATTAATTTTTCCATATATTATTATTGATCACTAGTTCTCTTCTCCTTTCCTGATTTCTGATGCCCAGTTGTATCACTTTGACCAAAGCCTTTGCCTGTGTGGGCCAGCCAGTGCTATAAATCCATCGCCTTATCCTCCTGGGTACTGGCTACTGTAGTTTTTCACTAGCCTCATCCATGAGATAACTTGTTACCTTTTTTTTCCGGGGGGGAGGTTTCCATGTTGACACAAATCATTTGGATTGAAATTATAATTGTGATCAAAATGAGGGGTACAGATGTAGTTCTTGATCTCAAGGAGATCGTCCCTGATAGGGTTTGTAAGTAGGTTGAAAGATCAGCCAAGGACAAGTTGGAAGCAGTTCTTAGCCAAAGAAAGGGCACTTCAGACAGAAAGTCAGCAGGAACTGCTTCAGAAGTCAAGCTGACAAAGCATTCATGACAGAGTCTGCCCAGAACCCCAGCTCACAGCAGTGAGGAGAACCCCCTGTGTATCACAGGGAAAATATAACACGGAATAAACCAAAGTGAAGTAGAGAAGACTGCAAATAATCGGGAGAGGTAAGGGTGTGGTGGGCCAGTCCCATGTATGTGATGATGATGGGGGCAGGGGACCTAAATAAGCAAAGTATAACCACCTTTGAAAACGGAATTCAAGGCTGGTAAATTTCCAACCCCAAACAATTCAAATTTGTGGGGGATCATGGCCAAAAGAGAAGTGGGAACAGAGGTGGCCACAAGAGAAGTGGGAACACAGATGGAGTGCTGGCATCTATTCCGATTGCTGGGTTACTAAGCTTGGTTTTCGCAGCTGTGGCTGAAGGTCCTGGGAGAGAGTTGCCATCTCAGCTGAAAAGCAACCGCGGCTACTGACAGGAAATGGGGAAAGAGAATTCTTCACGGCTGTCTTTTCCCTTTTCTTCGGAACACCTGTGAACTCAACATATTCACTTTTTCTGTGTTACCTAACCAATTACGGTAAAAATAAATCCCTTTTGCAGCTTATTTACTTCTACCTATAGTAGCTTAAAATGTTTACCATATCTAAACTACTTCCTTTGAAATTTTCCCATTTTTCCTTCTAGCACTCAACATTCATTCATGAAACATTTATTAAGACCTAAGTACCATTTCCATTCCACTACCAAATGGTTATGACCACTACAACCCACTTCAGGGCTGTAAACATTGGGTGCTCAGAAAGCATATGCTGACAAATTACTTTTTTAATCTGTTGTTCTTTCCATTGCTTCCTAATCCTCTTGAATTTGACTATGGTTTATGCCCAAACAAATTAAAAGGATGGTTTCTAGGATGATCCTAGAGAGGATCACCTGTGAATATCTAGTGGCTTCCACCAAAGAATCTACCAGCAAAGAGCCAAAGCCTGCAAGAGATGTTTGAGCTGAGATCACAGGACTCAGGGGGACCTAAGGTGGCTACTGAGGGTTTATTATCTTGCTTTATATTTAGAGTTATGTTTCAATTTTTGTGGGACATAAATTAGAAATTGTACATTTGTTTTTATATGTATATATATTTTGTAATTTTATATATATAGTATATATATATACATATATATATATGTATATATGTGTATATATATATACTTATATATATATTGTGTAACTGATACTTAACATTATTTAGGCTATTTGTTGTGTTGGTAGATACAGGTTCTACTAGGAAACCCAAAGTTCAGTAATACAGGTGTTCCTCTCTCACTCACCCCCAATCCAATTTTAGCAGCATCATTAGTAATTGGACAGCTACCCATAGATATTTAATTTAGTTCTAGTTTTGCAATCTGGTTATCTTGTTGCTATTCTGGATCATTCATTTCTTTTCACTAACATCTTAAATAATCTTTTATAATAAAAGAAAACATCCCTGTCCCACAAAAAAATAAAATAAAATAAAAAGCCAAAATTGATTGTGCATGCCCACATTAGCATTTTTTGCTCTGAAGAAGTCAGCTTGCTTGTAAAAGAAATCATCTAGTAGAAAGAAAACTGTGTTTAAGTTCTCATTCCTGTTTATCATGATTTCATGAAAAATTGGGCTGGGGTTGAGAAATTAGCAAAGATGAGGTGGGGGTGATTGTGGAGATGAGGATGACCAGGTTTTCCAGGGAGGATACAGGTGAAGAGTCTCAATGAGATAGAAATTTTGTGTTCATCAGCAAGGTGATAGACACCTGAGCCATTTAGCAGCCTTTTGTAGAAGGTTCCACCTGCTGCCATTTCTTCTCCGTGGGGAAACTCAGTTCCATCTTGTTTCCTGGAGGTTCTCAGTTTCCCAGTTGGGTTCTGTGGGACCCTGCTGGCTTTTCACAATGTTCCAGCCTAAAGGCACTGATCTTTCTGGTCAGCCACTCGGTGGAATATCTCCTTTTATGTTCTGTCTATTTTTCTTTTACCTCAAATATCTGCTCCATGGTCGCCCTCTCTGCCTCTCCTTTTCACTTTATTATGAACCTCTTAGGTCCTCTATTTTTTTTCTGTACTATTTGGCTCTGTGTTAAACTTTCCTAGGCACTTTTTGCACTTGATACTGTGACGACATCTGCAAACCTTCCTTCAATCATATCAAGAATGACTCATGACCAGAGAGTGGGAGAACGTGGACTTTTATCGTTTGGGTAGCAAAACCTGTAGAATCCCTGCTAAAATTATCCTGACTTGTTGTTTTCTGTTTTCATTTTATAATAATATGAATGTTCAGCATCAATTTCCTGTTGTAGTGATTCTGTCCTAGCTCCCCTTCTTGATGCTTTTGTTCAAAACATAAAAATAAAACTGATTTGTTAAATTAAAATAATAGTATAGACTCATGTAAAAAAAAAGATCAAACATTACAGAAAGGTGTAGTGAAAAAGAATCTCCTTTTACTTTTCTCTGGTCCTTAGTTTCACTTTCCATAGGTCATTAAATCCTGCTAATCAGGAGTTACATTTTGCAAAGGCATACATACATTAATTTCAAAAAATATTTTTAATTGTCTTTCTTTCTATAGATAGCACCACATATTGTGTTTGTTTCTTTATTTCTTCTTTCATTTTTCATTTGATGTCTTCTTTTTATGAGACATTCACTTTGCAGTTACCTATCATGTACCAGTGCAGGGAATATCCAAATATTCAAACAAGAAATTGTTCTTGCTTTCATGAAGCTTCTACCATTTCATTTTTTTTCTAGAATTATTCCTGTATTACTCTTTACTTAATCTTTTAATTTTGTCATGCTAACTATTATGATACTTATGTATAGAATATTTCCTCATTCTTTTGCATTTTTCTATCCAGAGAGAGGAGGTTGGTCACTTTTTTTGCAAACAATTTACAATCAAATTGAGATTCTCATGAATGTTCTTGAAAGTTTTGTTGTTGCTGCTATATCTTTGTATGCTATGATTGTCTTTATCCTTTTCTGTTTTTTTTTGGGGGGGGGGTGGTACTGGAGATTTAACCTGGGGATGCTTCACTAATAAGCTATATCCCTCCCTTTTTATTTTTCATTTTGAGTCAGGGTCTCACTAAGTTGTTGAGGGCCTCACTAAATTGCTGAGACTAACCTCTAACATGATCCTCTTGCCTCAGTCTCCTAAGTTGCTGGGATCACTGGCATGTGCCATTGTGCCTGGCATGATTATCTTTATTTTTGGCTTCAATATTCATTAGATGACCAGATACCAATGATGTTCTTTGCCTTTTATTTTGAGAGATCAAAAATATATAGGCATATAGTCACTAATGCCCTGATACACTTAACATCTATATTTCTATCAATACTGATGTTTTGATAATAATGGCATAAGCAATTAAAATTTATATTGAGGTATATATACTTATTACGCAAATGTGAAGAGTCTCCTCTGTAATAACTCCTCCTTTGTGTGAATGAAATGTTTTATGTTTGTCTTCTCTGTCAAATACTGGCCCAATTCTTTTGCTTTTATGACTTTTTTCTTTTTTGTCCTCTGTTATACTGGGCTTTGTCCAACAGTAGAATTTTTAGCATCTTTTGCTTGACACATGACATGATCCATCTGTCTTCATGAGATGACGGAAAAGCCTCTGATAATTTTTCATATAAAAGCAAATTTTAGCCAGGCACGGTGACACATTCCTGTAATCCCAGTGATTCCAGAGACTGAGGCAGGAGAATTGCAATTTCGAGGCCAGCCTCAGCAAGTGAGGCCTTATGTAACTTAGCAAGACACTATCTTAAAATAAAAAATAAAAAAGGGCTAGGGATGTAGCTCAATGGTTAAGTGCCCTGGGTTCAATCCCTGGTTTAAAAAAACAAAACAAAACAAAAAACCCAGCAAATTTTATCAATTTTAACTTTGTATATGCATTTGCTAAGAATCAGTAACTCATTGTTATTCTAAATTATATGTGTTTGTTTATGTGTATTTTTTTCTTTACCTAAAATATAACTTTCTGTCAGAGAAAACAATTAATGTATACAGTTTTATAAATTATTCTAGAAACCATACTGTACTGGCTCTTTTCTGTCATTGACAAATTCTTCCAGCTCACAGAGCCCGTTTCTGTAAGCTCAGCTATAGCCTGAACACAGCTTCTCTCTTCTGGATTCACATCTCATTTTGACCCAGCCCTTTCTATTTCAAGACCCCTTCTAACCACATTCCCCCCTGTATTGGTTCCTTACATTTGCCTCTGTGGAATCACTCTAGTTAGTAAAGAAAGGGTCCTGCATCCTTTTTTGCTGTCTGGAACATATTGTCTTGTGTCCTCCAACTATTAGAAAGTTCATTTTTTTCCCCCTACTTCTCCAAGGTAGGTGGCTTTTCTATTCCCTGACTCCAGGTACCAGAAGCAGTACTCATGGATGTTATCTAACTGCTTGCCTTGTCTTTTAGAAATTCACTGTAAAAGGTCTTAATCATTCACGAGGTCCTGAATACCTCCAAGTACTCATCCTTCTGTACCAATGTTGTTAGCCCTGGCCTGGAAAGCTTTTTCCTCTGGGCTGGATTTCTGCCATCCTGCAGCACCTCTTAGATTAAATTTAAAATGAAATAGAACAAAACTGACAGCATTTCTCTTGTTTGATGGCTTCCATCAAACAAATTTGGTTGCAAATTTCAAATAAGATTTCATTGGCCTTGTCAAACCCTCCTCTCTCCATTTCCCTGATCTGTTTCCAGCCTCCCTCAGACTCCTTATCTCCTCTGAGGAGGCTGACTTTATTTCTTGCAAGCTTTCACATGCAAGGGCTTATTTTATTCTTTGATCTCAATGTTCTAAGAGAATATACTGACTTGAGACTGGGGAGAGGCAGATCTAGGATTTGGCCCTTGGATGGAGAGCAAGGTTGTTACTATTGATGTAACTCCAAATTGTTTTCTCATAACTCTATTCATGTCCCATCGCTAGATTCTTTCTCAATGGTGGCTTCCTTTGAACTTCTTCCCAGCCTCCTCACCAGCTACGCAGAGCCGCCACCTTTGACTATACAAATGCCAGTCAACTTAGGAACATTGGCCTCTACTGCCCTCTTGTGTCCACTGGAAGAAGTGACCTATAGTGGGCAGGCTGATTCCATGGAAGGGTTCCTTTGGAAGGATGACAACCATGACTGGAATCTTCATGCCTCTTTTTCTTTAATCTCTTTCTGATAGCTTTATATTTTCACACTGACAAAGTTTTTGATTTTCAAGAACCATTCCTAGATTTCTGCCTCAATCTCAAGTCAAATGTTCACCTACCGGTTTACTGAGATCAAATCCACTAAGTATAGGCATTCTCTGGTCTCTTGGAACGTCTGTCTTCTCTCTCTACCCCTGCCTCTAAAAAGAAAGGCACTGCTAACGAGGAATGCAGATTTCAGGAAAGAAAGAGAAGATGGAGAAATGAGCAGAAAGAGCATAAATGTGAAAGGACAAAAAAGGCAGATATGAAGACAAATATGGATCATCCACCAGAAAAGTATAGTCAAAGGAGAGGAAAAAGTCAGATTGTAGAAACTCTAGTTAAAGGAAGGCTTCCTACAGTGGGACATCGTGAGTTTATTTGTAAATTTTTTTTGGAACATCTCCACTAGGGAGGTAATAATTAATAAAGCATGACCTGGAGTAAACAGAAGGCAAATCATCCCATATTATCCCAATTCCATTCTGTTATCCTCTTTATAGACCCCAAAGTGTCAAGCAGCACACATTGAATATAAATATGGTGAACAAATATTTGCTTGGTTGAATTGCACTGACGGGAGAACACTGGACCCACCGAGTTATGAAACCCAGGTCACAAGTGGGGTTCTCTCAGGAGTTTCCTGCTTTTTCTATATGATGCCCCCATTCCCTATCTTCTACTTTGTAAGAAAAATGGGTCAGAGGAGAGTAGCCCCCTTACCATCATTGTTTATATCTGCCTTATGAAGCACCAAGTTGACGAATTCCTCAGGATTCATAGTATGTTGGCCATTGAGGGCTTGTACAGCCTGCAAAAAGACATTAAATCAGAGAATTCAACTTTGCTGGAAGCACATATATTTTTTTTTTGTAACATTTCTTCCCTGGTGTGACAGGATTTGAGGATGTGTTAATGTAAGTTTTGCTATCCAACCTGTTTCGGTTGCTTAAAATAAATAAAGATAAAAGATTGCATGTCAGTTCTAGGTAATGGTGCTTGGAAATTAAATTAACCGAAGAAAGTCTGATTTTTTTTTTTTAATTTCACCCAGCATAAAGGGATCCATTCAAAAGATGCAAAGAACACCTTGGAGAAAATAATGTAGTGGTCACGCTTATGAGAATTCTGAAAAGAGGTATTGTTCTCAATTTTGGATCGATTTACTTGGATCTTACAGATGAACATAAGTGTATGAACAGAAATCTGCCAGTATGTCGGGCTTCCTCTCCAGCTTCTGCCATTGGCACTCTGGGTCTTTGTGCCCCTTTTGAAGGATGATGGACTGGAAAGATAGATATATATGCCTTAGGAGAATGCTGAATTTCTCTCACGTTCTACCAGCACCTTTTCATCATAAAAGTTGTCAGGAGACCCAGAGCAAATGACATTTTCCAGCCTTCCTAGAAGGAAGATTTAGCCCCTCCCTAAAGGCAACTAAATTAAATGACCCAGATTTGACATAGAAATTCATAATAAAAGAGGATTAGTCATCTGGAAATTTGGACATAACTATCTTGATTGAGCATGAAGGAATCTTTAGAAAATTTGCTGGCAACATATTTCACTTAGAGGTCACCATCTTAAATATGACTGTCTCTCTTGCTGCTTTCCAAGCGCTACTAATGTTGATTCCAAAATTAATAATTATAAACCATGCTAAAGCACCACTCTTGGCCTTAGTGAGTCCAGGTCTCACAGACTTCACAGTTAAACACAGGACAAAACTTAAAAGTGACCATTACATACATGTAGTATCAAATTGGCTAAATACAACTTTGGTTTCTCAGTGTTCAGGGCATAGACCCCCAAAGCTTAGAAAACTTGGCTAAGTGTCTAGTATCCCCACCTCTAGAAGCAATACTAGAGTATTATAACAGTCATAATAAAGATTGTGATATCTTGATTCGTCCATCACTCATCTCCTGATAACCTAAGCAAGAGTGAAATACTGACTGGGAGGTTGATAAGGCCCAAGGGGATATTTCTGGAAGGAGTTGTCATCTTGCTGTTTTTTCTCCTTTTCTCATAGGAGAAGCAGAGTAGGGGATGGACAAGGAGACAGGGTTTTCTTTCTTCTTGTCCTTCTCCATTAGCATCTCTGCTCTTTCTCCTCTGCTAATCAGTCTCTGAGCAGGAGGAAGTAGGAGAGAAGGGGAACAGGAGCATTATTACTTGGTAGGTACTATCATGGCTGGCTAGCTTCAGTGCTCTCTGGAACCATCAGGTGTTTTAAGTTCGCTCTTTCTCTGAGATACTCCCCCATCCGTTATTGAGACTCTCTTCTGCAATTCCCTAGACATGAATCATGCATCTTGATTCCAGCCGATCGCTTTCCAGGGCAGTTTCTCAACCTCCACACCACTGACATTTTGGAACAGATCATTCTTCCTTGTGAGGGGTTGTTCTGTGCATTATCGAATGTTTAGCAGCATCCCTGGTCTCTAACCAATAGATGGCAATAACACACCCTGTCCCTGACTCTCCCATGAACCAAAATGTCTCCAGACATTGCTAACTGTCCTCTGGGTGGGAATTCTCCTGGGTGAGAGCCTCTGCTCTAGGTTTACTCTGGCTCTGGTCTCCAGAGTCTCCCTTACTCCTCCTGGTGGCCCATTTAGACAGAATCTAACAAAACTCTGCCAGCCTCCTCTTCCAGAGATCTACACAGGATCTACGGAACACATTCAGGCATTCTTTGTTCCAACAAATTCTAGGAATGCGGATGATTCCATTTTAAACTGCATCCCTCTCCTTTGCCCTTGTGGTCTGCTTCTGTAGACTTCTCATGCAGGACTCAATGATGAGACATCGTGTTTCCCAGTGGCAGCCACATCTCAATTGTTTCTCTTGTTACTGACTTCAGGAGTCCCACCTGGTAACTCCTCTCAAAATTCCTTCTCAAAAACCCTTCTCTCAACTGTTTCACGCCCTGGAAGTAAGATTAAGATGTAAGAAGCTCTTTTGTAAATTCTAAATGTGCTCTAGTACAGTACTTCCTCCACTCTCTTGATACCTGGCTGAACTCCACTTTAACATCCTTATTGTATGTAGAGAAAACTTACAATATTATTATTCTTTCCCCTGTTGTTTTTTCCAGTTGCCATTGATAGAATGTTCTTAGGCCACTTTTTAAATAAGTATATGTTCCAGGTGCACTAATTTATTTAAACATTTTCCCTTATAAATTTTTATTATCCTATTCTTTTTATTCTTTATGGTCGCTTTTTCTGATGAAAAGTAAGTAATGCTGACTCTAAAATAAAGGTGATTTTTAGCTGCCTGATGCAGACTATCACATTTCCAGGAAATTTGTTATGAGTAATGCTTTGGTGGCGTTCCCTAAGATTTTTATGCTATTATGTTTACATCTTAATTGTTTGTAGAATAACCTAGGGTATATTCATTTAAAAGTGTATTTTAAATTTATGTGAGATTAGACTCCATCGGATACTTTAAATTCCTGATTTTGTGGTGCAACATGTCAGATAAATGCAGAATTTCTGAATTTTCATGTTTAGAGAGTTTAATTGCAAAGTGAATCAGTACATTTTTCTTGCTGTTGCTGGCAAATGACCTCTGTGAGACTGAAGTGGTAACAATGCCAGTATTGAATGGCATTCATGTTGGCTAACTCTACATTTGCTTACTTAGCTTTACATTTTTATCCGCTTTGTCCATTTGTTAAGATGTCTGATTGTAATGATAGTTTTACCCACTTATTTTTTTCTAGCATTTTTTGCTGATATTTCTCCTGCATACTTTGTTTATAACTTAGCTCCATTGTCTATAAAAGAATTTGGACCAGATTATCTCTAAGACATCTGACTTTAACTCTCTTTCATGCCATGTTACAAGACAGTGTATCACCTTAATAGTGTTTATTGTACCTCTTATTTTCATTTGGGTACAGTGTCCTGCTTAATTACTTTTTGCTCTTGGATCCTTTTTATCTCATACCATTAAAATGACTACCTCCTACTCCACTGGGGGCAGAGTTGGGAGGGTGAATTACAAAGGCACTCATTGAACTTTAGTGTTGGAAAGGATCTGAGATCCCTGATCTAGCTCTTAGAAATATATCGGTCCAGTTCCAGAAGATTAGCCCTTACGTACTTCAATCTTAGTTCATGTATCTTGCTATATATTTATAAACCATCTTGCATTTTAACGGATTCTCGCAAGACTTTCTGCACTGAGGCAGAGAAAAAATACCAGTTGCTTTAGAAATTCATATTTATTTCCTTTTTCATCCCAATGCTCTGCAAAATTTTGTGAACTTCAGAGTGGACTGCACCAAGAAAAAAAAATGTTAATTTGCAGTTGCACATTCAGTTACCAAAAGGAAAAGTGAGACTCACATTGCTTCAGCAATTCAACATGTCAATCCCAAGAATATCCAACTACATGGGAAGCTGTCACCTGTTCTTGCAAAGGATACTTCACTACCACTTACCACAAAGATGTTCAGTAGCTCCTTTTTGTCAATAGAACCATTTCCATCAGAATCACACAGTTTAAAATACCATTTTAATTTTTGCTCAATTTTTCCTTGTACCACTAGATTTACGGCAGCAATGAACTCTATAAAGTCGATAAATCCATCCTATGGAAAGAAAGGTAGAAAGGTAAATAAGTATTTAAGAAGAGCAATTGTTTTTTACTTGATAAGTGATCATTCATGAATAGGACCTTTAGAACAAGTTGATACAACCCAACATATTTCAGCATAAATTCTTCCCTAGTATTTTGTTAAAAAATAATAGATACCTACCATTTATAGAAATAAGTACTTTAATTTTATGGTTAAATGCCTTAAATATGCATTATTGTCAGAGTAGTTTTGGGTTCCCAGCAAAATTCAACAGAAGGTGCACAGATTTCCTATGTGTCCCCTATCCCTACACATGCACAACTTTCCCCATTACTGACACCTCCTACAAGAGTGGGGCAGTTTTTTCAACTGATGAATCTACACCAGCACACCTTTTTTATCCAGAGCTCACAGTACATTAGAGTTTACTCTTAGTGTTATAAATTCTCTGGGTTTGGACAAATGAATAATGAGGTATTCCCATGATTATGGCATCATGTAGAGTACTTTTACTGCCCTGAAAATCCTCTGTGCTCTGCTGATTCAGATTTCCTTAACCTCTGGTAACCAGTGATCATTTTATTGTCTCCATAGTTTTGCTTTGTCCAGAATATCATAAGGTTGAAATCGTACAGTGCATAGTCACTTCATATTAACCTCTTCACTTAATAATATGCATTTAAATTTCTTCCATGTCTTTTCATGGTTTAATAGCTCATGTCTTTTCAGCACTGAATAATATTCCATTATCTGGATATACCCTAAGTTTATTGTTTCACCTACTGACATCTTGATCGCTTCTACATTGGCAATTATGAATAAAGTTGCTAAAATATTCAAGTGCAGATTTTTGTGTGGATATATGTGTTCAACTCCACTTGGTAAATATAAGGTATTTGGATAGTATAGTAAGGGTTTGTTCAGTTTTTAAGAAACCACCAACTCAAATGTGGCTCTTAATTTTGTTTTCCAACAACAATGAATGAGAGTTCCTGTTGCTCCACATCTTCACCAGCTTGGTGTTTTCAGAGTCCTGAATTTTGTCCATTCTAAAGGAATGTAATGGCATCACCTTGTTTTAATTTCCAATTCCTTAGTAACATATGATATTCAACATCTTTTCATGTTTATTTGCCATCCATGTATCTTCTTTGGTCCATTTCTTAATCAGGTTTTTGTTTTTTTTATGGCTAAGTTAGAGTTCTTTGTGTATTTTGGATAATGGTTCTTTATCAGCGGGATCTTTGACAAATATTTTCTCCCAGTCTGTAGCTTATCTTTTCATTCCTTGACAGTGTCTTTTGCAGATCAGAAAATTTTCCTTTTAATGAACTCCAACTTATTCTTTCATTCATGGAGCACACCTTTGGTGTTGTTTTTTTAAAAGCCATCACCACATTCAAGATCATCTCGATTTTCTCCTATGTTTTCTCTGTGAGTTTTAGAGCTTTGCATTTTGTGTTGAAGAGTGTGATTCATTTTGAGTTAATTTTTATGAAGGGTATAAGGTCTTTGTCTTGATTACTTTTTTTCTTTGCATACGGATGTCCAATTGTTCCAACACCATTTGTTGAAAAGATTGTCTTTTCTCACAGTGACTTGCCTTTGTTCCTTGTCAAATATTAGCTGGACATATTCATGTGAATCTATTTCTGGGCTTTCTATTCTGTACTATTGATTTATTTGTCTACTCTCTTGTCAACACCACACTGTCTTAATTGGTACATCTTATTATATATCTTGAGGTCAGGTAGTGTCAGTCCTCCAATTTTACTCCTCTCCTTCAATATTGTGTGGGCTCTTCTGGGTCTTGCCCCTGCAGGTAAATTCTAGAATCAGTTTGTCAATATCCACAAAATGACTTGCTAAGATTGTGATTGGTTTGCATTGAATCATTAGATCAAGTTGAGAAAATGAACATCTCAACCATAGTGAGTCTACCTATTCATGAATATGGAGTATTTCTCCATTTATTAATTATCTGAATTATTTTACCAGAGATTTGTAGTTTCCCTCATATAGACCTTGTACTTATTTTGTTGTATTTATACCTATTTCATTTCTTTGTTTCTACTGTAAAAGGCACTGTGTTTTTGATTTCATATACCCCATGTTGATTACTGGTATATTGGAAAATGATTTACTTTTGTATAGTATCTTTGTTTCCTACAATAGCGCTCTACTCCTTCATTAACTGCAGGAGGTTTTTCTATCAGTTCTTTTGGATTTTCTATATAGACAATTATGTCATTTGCAAACAGAGACAGTATTATTCCTTTCCAATCTGTATATCTTTTTATTTCTTTTTCTTGTCTCATTGCATTATCGAGAACTTCCATATGATGTTAAAGAGGAGTGAGAATGGACATCCTTGCCATGTTCCTGATATTATTGGGAGAAATTCTGATTTCTCACCATGAAGTTTCACGCTTGCTGTTGGGTTTTTGTAGATATTCTTTACCAAGAGGAGATGTAGTGCCTTTAAAAAAATGTCTACTTCTTATGCCAATGAAATTTTGAAATGTTGTGACAGAAGACTGAATCCTTACTCCTGAGCCCTTTTCAGGAGTATCTTCTGAGTATCTGCAGATTGGGTCCTCTTCTCAGAGAATTTTTAATAGAAGGAAAACATATCTAACAAATAAATGCTGTATACCTTTTTTATAGAAACTGGTTGATATTTTTGGGCAGATAAGCTTTAGTCTAGGAAAATTCTTTAAATGCATAGTTTAAAATATGAATCACAATTTATGAGTCTGTTTTTCTATAAAGATTATGCTCTATTAGTCAATTCTGGAAAAGATTATTTAAGGATTACCAGTTTAGGTAGTTCCCCTTGTTTTAAACTGATAAAGAACATTTTCAGTTGAAACAGAGATAGTCTATGTCACTCTTAAGAATCATAATTTTCAAATCCTGCACTCAAAAATGCTGAACTACCTTAAGAAAGGTATACAACTCTGAAGTATATTTAACAGACATCTTATATCCAAATTTGGCAGGACAGGACAGTTACTTTTTTGGAAACAAGACTGGAGATTTAGAGGAAATAAATAGGGTAGACAGTAACCAACTGTGGATTAATCTGCTCCCAGCCCTTTCTTCTGGCCTTTGGATCTGACCATTTAGTACAGCTCTTCCCTGGGCAGTTACTGGATGAGTTTACCAAGGGTCACAGGAACATCCTCTCTGTAAACCTGGCTTATTAATAAGGTCATCTTCCAGATTTTCCATAAAAAATTTTATTTGATGATGGTTTGTTTCACTTTATGATTTCCATCTCAGTGATCACAGCTTTTGGTGTCACCTGCATGATGAATGGCAATAGGCTAGATTGAGCATTGTTGCCTGTAGAACATTTGTTATTTTATTATCAGGCACAATGCCTGTGTGCCCATAACACCTTCCAATCCAGGCTCCATAGCTCTGGGCAAACCCTACCAGGACGTGAGCATAAGTACTTTCCACTGAACAGTTTTTAAACAGGCAGCCTGGATAATCTAAACCCAGAGCTGATTTGGGGTGAGGGAACCTGTCCTCTTAGACCAGGACATTCTCTTTAAAAAACTTCTGGAAGCAAATCTTTCCATTTTCCTTTCAATATTCTTTTATGCAGCCAGATGAATTAATCTTCACAATCCATAGCCAACTCTTCTTTCCAATTATCCCTCTATTAATATTTTGTAAAAATGTGCACTACTCTGATAAATAGCTTTTGTTAATTTTGGAGGGTTTTAGGTGAATGTTTATGTGTAAATCAGAGGAAAAAAATGATTATTGTCTTCAGATGATCTGTAGATTTCAAGGGCAGGAGAGGGAGATGATTATTATGGAAAAGGTGAAGAGATGTCCCTACAAGTGTGACTGAAAAGAATGCAGGGAGAATGCCCAATGGCTTTTTGGGGGGTAACCCAAGGGAACACTCTGAACCTCATATTTCCATAGCTGAGCTACAGAAGCTCCTGTGGCACCACAGAACTGTCTAGAGATGTCTGGTTCTTGTGGCCTGAGCCAAGGTGGAATCCATAAATTCCTGGCATCAGAATCCTATGAATGGTCATGAAATACACAGATTCCTAGATCCCTACCCCATCTCTAAAACAAAAACAGACCAAAAAAAACAAAAAAACAAAAAACAAAAAAACAGCTCAGTATCAAATAACAAAGCTGCTCAAGATGTAGTTCTAAGAACCTGCATTTTAAAAAGCTCCCCATTTGGCCTCATATATCCTAAGATTTGGGAACCACAGACTTAATTGCTTTTTTCATCCATATCTTACTTTGTAGGTAGTTCTGCCATCCCAGCCATCTCTCCCAATGGTCTTTTTAACTGTGACCTATTCCAAGGTGAATTAGCATAACTTTATTAAAACTGGTTAGGAAAAAAATAGGGCTCACACCTTTCCATCCCAGAATGACACATTCATAAGAACATGTTCCAACAATCAAAAATTAATTTCAAAATAATAAAAAGTCTTCACTTGCACTTCTGGAACAAACACAAGTTGCACGACCTCTCTGGATTTCTTCACAACACCCGCTTCCTCTCCCATCTGCCTCTCCACGCACACCCTGCTGCTCTATCTTCAGCAGCCTCCGTTCCCGGCTTGCTCAATGCCAGCCCTAGCCTGAGAACATTCCTTTCTTTTATCCCACCAATTTTTATCAGATTCTGCATCACAAATTATAAAAAATTAGTTTGGTGATGTCAGAACGTCCTTTGACCCTGAGGGAGGGGTAAAAGCATGAAAAGCCATAATTGCTTCAAGGAGTCCTCAGGAAAGAAGAGGGAGAGAGCATGCAAATAAAAATGATTCCAATCCCAACATGTTTATAGATTTATATGTCATGTTTTTAGGATGGAGTGGATTCCAGAAAAGCATTAAATGAGAAATAAGGATATAGAATCATGACAGTTTCCCAGGCCAGTTTGACTTCATTATGTAGAAGGAAGGAGAGAGGGAGAGAGAGAGAGAGAGGGAGAGAGAGAGAGAGAGAATATAATATATATT